ATTCCCATATGGTTACCCAAACAGGAACGTTAAATAAAAATTACTTATAAGCACTTTATTTAATCGTATTTATTATATTAGATAAATAATTAGTTAAAATATTAATAAAAAAATTTTATATTGCAACCATAAAATATTAGAAACAATTCTTGTAAATTTTATGCATTTAATTACTTTAGTGGACCTAAATGAGAATAAAATCTATGAATTCATAGTTTGTTAAATAGTTTAAATACTCGAAGCACAATGGATAATTTTTCATAATTTTAATGATAAAATACAAAGCACACGCATATAAACGATAAAACATTATTTAAAACTCAAAATTAAATCTAGATATTTATTCATCTTCATGAATTTATAGAAAACAATTATAATTCATTTTGATGATTTTAATTACATGTTTTCTAAATCGAGATATCTTTCATAATCTGCTTCTTGCGGCCTCCGGCTTTCGTAATTCGAACTAAATTTCATAAATGTCCGAAAAACATTAAAATTATGCATTAAAAATATTTTCATAAAATACTCTAAAAATATATTAAACCTAACAAAGTTATCATTCAAGCCTTTAATTTTAGAAAATTTTCGTAATTTATTTATATTTTCATTTTTTTCTTTGCTTATTTGAACATATGACCTAAGTATCTCAGTGTTTATAATTGAATTTTTGTTATATATTTCGTTATCTATTCCTATTGGTAATATTTCAAATGACTTAACAACAAAGGTTGTTTGTATTTTGTTTTCAATATTTGATATAATATTAGAATTTATGTTATCATAGGTTTCATTTAAATTACTTGGTGTATTTAGGAATAATTTTGGGATGCTTTCAAAGTCTGTGATATCAGAAAACAACATATAATTAAATGTAAAACTATTATCACTAAAGAAACTGCTCATTTGTTTATTATACTTTTTAACAATTTTTTCATCCTTATTCATTAAATACAATAGATGCTTTCTAATGAAATGTAAAGTTACGACTCGAAATATGTTAAAGATTTTATCATGATAAACTCTAATTTTTGAAATCCATTCATCAAACCAATAGTAATTACGGGCAGCTTCATATGCAACATAAATATCATTGACAATATCATTATAACTTTCTTCACTTTGTTCCCCAAAATCCTTTATTATAGTTTTCAAAATATCTGTATTTTGAATAATTTCGTAAAGATAAATTTTTTTAATAGAAACCCAATTTTTTACTTCTTTACCGTGCAGTAAAATTTTATTAATATTATTTCTATATAGCATTACCTCCATTACGTCTACTGCCATTGAAATCTTCTGTCTTTCATTTAGTACAAATTCTTGTTCGCTAAATTGATCTAATAAATTATATTTATTATCTATGCGACAATCTTTAGTTGTATATAACCATAAATTATGTATTATTTTATGTAACATTTTTTTAAAATGATGTAGCAACAATAAATACCCCGACTCTTAACCGTAACTCTTCCGTTAGATCTAACTTTATTATTACAGCTAGCATATGTTGGATAATTGATTCATTTAACAATACATTATAGAATTCATGTGTTTGATAAGAGTCATTACGTACTATTAAAGATTGAAGAATGCTCGTGTATTGTAAAAGATTATATAAATTACTGCAATAAAGGTCGTAATACATAATTTGTGGTTTAGTGAACAATTTAAATGATTCTGGTTTATTTTCCCTTATACGTTTCAATTCATCTAAATTCATTTCAAATATTATAGAGATGGGTTCATAAGAAAATCCAGTATCAAGTGTCAGTGCTAGTTTAAGCTCTTCTGTGTCATCAAAAATCTTCGATTTCGGTTTTGTTTTTTGTGTTGATGATGTCCATTTTAACCAACTACATGTCATAAATTAAATATTACATAGTGTCCCAAAGAAGATTGTTAACGCGCAATATTGATTAAAAATCATTATTAGAATATCAATTACTCAATAATAGTTATGTATAACTCATTAAGAAGAGTACTTTTTTAGAACTACACATATAATAAATTTAGATATTTATATCTATGATTATCTAATATTAACATTTATTATATTGAACAATCTATTTAAAAAATAGTGTATTTAAACAGTTTAAAGTGATTTATTGTCACACTATTAATTTAAACAGAATTTTCGACATAGTATTAAAAAAAAATAATAATGAATCATGCAATACAAAATTGAGAAAAATTATATACAGGTGGCCCACCACTCATTGACAACTTAAATAACTTTTGATCCAGTTAATATTTTTAGCTGATTTTTTTTTTAAATATTAGTTAGACGTTAGGTCTATAGCTATATCTCAATAATTAATTTTTTTACATTTTATTAAAAATATTAATTATTTTAAAATTTTAAATAAAATGTAAAAAAAAAATCTAAGATAGCTATTTTGTAGAGTAGAATTTAAGAAAAATTTTAGTAAAAAAATATCTTATTAATATTCTGTAGCGTTTTGAAGTCTGTGAAATTTTGAATTTTCATGTATTATTTAACGGTATTAAACATTGAAATACGTATTGAGAAAAGGACAGAAGAAAACGTTATCTGTTCAATATACTTCTGAATGAGAGTGATAAGTAATAATTGCTTTATCTAATTTCTTATCATGGTATTAATGCCAAGTTTGTAATGTATACACATTATCATCATATGTATACACAGTAATCATGAAAAGATAGCATTTTCTTCTGTCCTTTTCTCAATACGTAAATGAGGTTCAGCCAATAATTTATAATACAACTTAACTTTTTTATGCATTTACTTTTACTATATTAACAATTTTAGAAAAAATTGAATAAATAAATTTAAAATGCATGCTATAACTCTTATCGATGTTTAAAGGCATTTAGTAGATACAGTATACAGGGTAATTCATTTATGATTTATGATAATAGTTTGTTCTATAGATAATAATCTAATAAGAAAATGACTGGTCGATAACAATTTTTGAACAATATTTGGAAAGTAGGGACGAAAAATGAATAGTGATAAAGGCATTTTATATTAAAAAACCCCAGCACAGGGAGGTCGCGACAAAGTGGTGCCGTGGTATAGTTGGATCAAGTATAATGATATCTGACAGTGATTAAAATCACTATCAAAAATAAACGCTTCGATGCAAATCTTTAAATTGTGTTTAATTTAAAAAAAATTGGTGTTTTATTCCAAAAGCTACATGATCTGCTAGTTCCTTATTAATATCCTGATTAAGATAAAGTATGTTGAATGAAAAAGAGATTATTAAAAAATATTATTTCTCATAGAAAAATTATGTTGATCCATACACTTTTCAATAAATTATAGCATTATAAAGTTAAAAATATAAAAAATAAAATCGAGAATTTTCAAACGAAAATAGCATTTGGTAGCCATTTTCGCCGTGAAGACAAGTCCAGAGGTCAATATTTTTTTCAAATTAAAGTACATTACATTAGCTTTAATTTAAGATATATATAAAAGTGTCAGACCTTCCGGAACATTTTCAAAAGTTAAGTTGAAAAAGTTAATTTTTTATAAAAATGTTGTCATTTTAAATCCCCCCTGTGGGCAGATAAAGAGTCAAATTTCCAAAAAAAATAAACCAAATGATAGGTAAGTATCAAGCATCTATAAAAAAAAAAATTATATTCATATGTTCATTTTTGAAAAATTTACGGCAGTTTTTAGTAAAAAAATGTCGAAAATTTCGAAAATTAGCGATTTTTAAATTTGTAATATTTTTGGAGGTTTCCCCCATTTACGAGGAACGAGGGAAATTTTTTCAATTTTGAGGGTAATTTCTTCGACTAGATACGATTTGTGATCTTTTGACGTATCATTGAAAGAAATCGGTTCGGTGAGAGCTGAGAAAAAGTGGTAACAGACACAAANAAAAAAATCGGTCCAGTGAGACCTGAGAAATAGTAGTAACGGACCAAAAAAAAAAAAAAAAAAAAAAACACATAGTAAAACTAACACCTTCTCAGCTTCGCATCGATGCTAAAACATGAAAAAAATTTTCACTTCCTCATCAAAAAAAATTATACTTTCAACTATTAAATTTTTGTTCTTGGGCGTAACACCCGAATCTCCATTCGTAATTACATAGATATTTTCCACTTTTTAATTAGAACGTGACTACCGATTAAATTTTCTTCCTCCCAAAAACAAAAAAATAACATAAATAATTATTTTTTTAAATATATAAAAGATAAATTACGCAAAATTAGTTATAAATTACATTCTTGTATTATATAAAAAACTTTGTGTCTAAAAAATTTTTATCCTAATTATAAATTGTATATTATTTATAAATAATATTCTAATACAATTTCAATAAAACAACTTGATGAAATATTTATCATATAAATACTATTTCTTGTAGGTCTACGTTAAAATATTTTGAGATTTATTATACAGTACTTATATAACTACGGGTTTATTTTACACAAAAATGTCGATTATTAGATTTGAAGTTGAATTATTAGAATTATATTGAATTGCTAAAATGTAGATACAGGTTAAGTAAATTATGGACATAAGAAAACTAAGTTAACATTCATTGATAAATAAATAAAATTATCGGTTCTCGACATTTATTTTAATAAGTAGTAATAATATTATGGTAATAGTCTCACTGCTATCATTTATATCATGTAATCTTGATATAAAGTTTTAGTTGTTTTTTTCTAGGACTCAAAAAATAAGCCGTAATATAGTTTTACATTTTATTAATAAAAGCAATAAAACAACTATTTTTTAAGAAAGAAATACATCATGTTCTTTGAAGTGATAATTTATTCTAGATGCACTTCATTCTCAGATTTAATAATATTAATTTAGATGAAATCGTATTTGATGATTTTGATTATGTTATTTTCATAATCAAATCGCCAAAACATAGTAAGTTAAGTCACTGTTGTAAACTTTAATGGTGCACTCGTTTAATCAATACGTGTACATTTAAAATTCATATAATAAAAAAGGAAAATGTTATTTTTGAATAGAGTTCATACCTTTAATGCAAACTTAAAGTAAATCGTGAAACTCAACCAATTTCGATAATCTCATCCTATCGTCCATAATAATCCAAATAGACACATTGTAGTATTCAAAACGGATCATATTCAACGCATAAAATTATACAAATAATGTTAAGGTTGGCCTATTATTGCATCTTTATTATTAATTTTACATTCTGACCTTAATGTGGTTTCGTATTGTTGCAGAACGTGAGGAATACATGTACGAAAAATATGTGTTTTATATAAAGAAGACTCGAATTTTTTGTAAACACTCGAGTACCTGCTCTGGAGGTAAATAAACCTAAGGCAATGGAACACCCGGACGGATGTTATTAATTGAATAGGTTATAAAACTGACATTTTATCTTTTGTTGGCCTCAAAAAACAAGCCCGTATTCGGGTATTATCAAAATCCGTATAATTAAAATTCACCACCTAAAATACTCATATAGCATTTAGTTTTTAACTATCTCGTAATATCATTCTCACAATAATCACTTTACCTAGGGTACACCATTTATTTTTACTTAAAATTATATAAAAAGCAAATTTTCTATCATGAACTTATCTAATCATAAATAAAAATAATATTGATAATTTTTTTCCTTCAGTTACATGTTTTTTTCTATCAATCATGAAGTATCTTTGATATTAATCTTTATACCATATAGAGGATGCCAACTTTATTTTTTTAAATGGAAAATTATACAGTTAATTAAAAAATCTATTAGATAATGGTCTAATTGAGAAAATAAAAAAGACTGGACCTATATTTCAGATTTTATTCTAATTTTTGCACTTAGTTGAAAGGAGGAGTGTCACCGAGAAATATCTAATGATAAAAATAGCAGCATTTTATCACAACCCTCTAGCCAATTTCTATTAATTTCTGAATTACTGTTCTAAAAGTTATTATCTACTAATTATTTCGCGAATTAGATCATCATCTAACTATAAAGTTAGTTTTTTGTAGGTATTGTCATTTGAATCTACAATTTAAATCATGGAGGTTGTTCTTCATACCCATAAATATACGTGATCCCTCTCTCGAAATTCATTCGATGATTTAATTATCACTATAAATTATACTTCAGTAGTATTGCGATCAAGAAAAAAGATCTGCAATAAAAACATGTATTATAAATTTCTATTTGAATTTAAAAAGATTCCTTTTCTCCGTAAAAATTTTTTATATGCGCTTGCATCACTTATTATAGCCTAATACTATTCAATAAAAAACACTTATAAACTTATTAATAATATTATTAACTACTATTTGGAATAAACAGACAATACATTTTAATTTCCCAATCAAAAAATTGTACAAAGCCATCCAGTCTCTTCCAAATAACGTTTCTGATTTTTAGAATTCCGTTAGAAACAGTTGACTAGATAAATGATAGGTGAGCATTACTCATGTGCTGAAAAAGCTAAAAATGTTAATTACGCATTCCAGACACGGACATTTAAAAAGTTTCTTAATTTCTTAAAGTCGGAAAAAGAAAAAGTAAATTACCTAACAAACCTGTGAAATCTAACAGTCAAAGTCAGTCGTGTTAAAATAGAAATAATAACCGACAAGATCCATCTCGTTTCTTAGAGTTATTACAGCAAAAAAAAAAAAAAGAAGGAAATATTCATGAGCAAAAACTTAGTATATAAATCCAATAAATTAAAACAAACGAGACCAAAAGTCTTGAAGTTTCATACTTTCTAGAAGGTAAAAAATTGTATTTTTCGTACTACTTCACTTCAACAGTGAGCGATATAATCTTTTCCTTTTTTGACGAATTTTAAAATAAATACTACGATGAAAATTAAACTCGATTTATAGCCGATCTCTACTCTCTATGAGTAAATATATTATACAAGTAATCGTAAATTATATTATACCACAGTCATGTCTTCCTATATTATTTTCAAGCAAAAACGAAAACATTAACACTTAATAACTCATTATAAGGATTTGTAAATAAATTTTCTTTAATGTTTTATAATATTTTGAAATTACAAAAAAAGAAGATATATTATAGTAAACGCATTTTTAAAACTTCTTAACAATCTCTTTTCTATAATTTTGAAATTAATTAAAAAAAATAGATTTAGTATATTATTTGTTCTAAATTATTTTCCTTAAAAATATTTTGTGTTTTTTAAGGCTAATATTGTTAAATCGATTATAAATCTCCTAATAATCATATTTGTAGAGATTATGGCACATTGATTGGTAAACTTACGGTGGCTATGCCAGATTTGGTTGTGGCACAGGGCAAAATAGCGGTTCCACCAATTTGTGACGTCACGATTGTCCCATTTTCGGTCATAAACATGTTATTGGAACTGTCCACATCATTAATAAGATCGTTTCCCAAGTGGTAGCCTGCACCTGCTGACAAAGTTTTAGACAAATGACGTTTGTGGTGTACTTTTAACTGCCTTTTGTTGTACTTTGAATGGCTTCCTTTGTTGATTTTTTCATCTGTAAAACAAATATAAGTATGATTTCTGCCATAATATGTTATTAGTTATTAAATTTAAAATAAAATAAAGTTAACATGGTAATCATTTAACAAAACAGCCGAATTGATAGGAGTAAACAGGAATGCGTAACAATGATCAGTTCGGACTGAGCTAGCCCGATTTAGAACAGTTCGGGTTGGAATTTAATTTAAAATAGACCAAGCCAGGTCGAATTGGGTCATAACATTAATATTGGATCGTTTAAAACCTTTAGCTACGTTTATTGCATTTCTTGAATGAATTTCATCATTCATTAGGCTTAATTGTTTTTTTTTTGGACTGAGTCGGATATGACCTTGAATTTTATAAATTTATTTGGATTGGATCCTAAAAAAATAATAGTATAATGTGTACTAGTATTAGTATTAGATATTAGTTAATACTTTTTTTTAATAATTTATAACATAAATTATTATAACACATTGTGTTATTAGACTAAATTAATTCAAATTTTTTATTATTAGTTTATTAGTTAAAAAAAAAATTAATATTAAAAACAATAAATCAAGTTAAAATCAAATAAAATATGATTTTAACATAGTTTAATATATTAAAAATTCAAAAATAAAAAACTATAACAATAGAGTAATTGTAATTCACGAGAATTATCAATCAGTTAGTTTTACATATAAAAAAATGCTGCTGTTAACAAGTTATGTTTTAAAAGAAAAATTATGTTTTATTTAACTTTCAATTTTATTTTTCTAAAACTCACAATTGTTTAATTATTTCCTTTTGCTTGAACACTACAGATTTATAAAGATTAATAACATTTGTCAGACAATAAGAAGTTTTTGACCTTTTATACAAATTTATGATTATCTGCTGATTGAATCAGAATGATGACAATTTTGCAAAATTTAAATAAAAACTTACATAGAGTCAATAAATTGAAAAATGAAGAACATGTATCAGTATTAAATAAATATATACATTTTTGGGATCAATAAATTCTTAAAACAAAGATCTCTTATTTTACTGTATGTCTTTTTATATTCATCAAATAATTTATTTACTCCAATAACAAATCGTAACATTTTTTAAAATGTGAACAATAAATTGATATAATTTTAGATTAAAATTTTTTTTCATCAGTAGTCCAATTAGTTTTTACAGAAGAGTACTTGAAAGTATAAGTACCATTAAATTTATATTGTCCCTATCTATTTTTTACTCTAACAAATTCTTTCCATTGCTACTATTACTGTGTTAACATTTAAAATTTATAAAAATTAATTAACATGTATGTTCATTGAACCTAATTACAATAAAAATGCTGACGTAAGTAAGTAAAATCAAATGTCACCCTTTACGTTTACAAGCGTGCGTTTGATTTTGTTTAGTGAAGATTTTGTTATAATAATAAAGTCTTTATGAAACACAATGGTTTCGCAAAGAAATAAATGCCAGTTTTGTTTGAATTATATTGTACAAGTATATCATATTCACAATAAAATTAGCTGTTTTTATAAGGAAACAAAAATGATATGTGCATAATTATAATATAAGAGAAGTACAGAAACTATTGTATTATTACAATCATTATTCGAGAATGTTTTTTACATAGTTTTCCTGGTTTTTATTCTGTTAAAATAATAGTTGACAATTTCGGTGTAAGTTTATTATAACAGAAAATAAATTATTTTTGCTACTTAATCCTTTGTATTAATTTTAACTTATTTGTAAACAACCGCAAATAAAAACTTAAATGTTTATGCTCTATTCTAATGCCTTTATATTTATATTATGTCATTTATCTTTTAATCAGTAATTAGTATTCGTTTGTCTAGAATTTTGACTTCGTCTTTTTTTACTTATTTAAACAGAGAATAATTAATAACTTCCATAAATCTTCAGTAAAATGAAAAATAACATAGCTACTTCAAATTGTTATGTAAATATTATTGGTTAGAAATATATATTTTTTCAAACATAAAAACTGTTTTAAAAATAACATATTTCGTTATTAAGTTTAGACTTAATTTTGTAAAAAAGAAAATTTAAAGATGAACATTACTGCATTTTATAAATTAATGTTTCTTGGAAAAATAGTTTAAGAGTTTAAATAGTTTATTGAAAAACTTTTTTAAATAATATGTATTTAATATATCTAGTATTAAAATTAATAGTTCATTGAATTATCTTTTTGTTTAATAAATTACATAAAAATATTTTTTTCGAATTATTGCTGAATAGTTTTAACATGTGTTTTTATAAATTTTAAACATAGATGAATCATTTTTTATTCCATTATCTTTTTAAAACTATTCTGAGTACAGAACAATTTTTGGTTGCTATCAACCCGCAAAACTACACATTCTAATTACTATAGCAACATTTTATTAAAAAATTCGATAAACTTGTTATTCTCGTAGGTATTAATGTAAATTTTTACGAAGATGATTTCTTTGTGCAACTACTTACTTTTTTACCGAAAAACATTTTTTTAATTTTTTAACTGCAAGTAAATATTTTACATAACTTACTCTATTAGCTTGTCTTTATCAATTTAGTAATTGATGTTCAATAAATATATGCAAACATTTAAAAAAATATACCAACCATAATTTTGTAATTTATGTAAATTTAATTTATACTTAACGAATATCTCCCTTATACTTGAACACATTTAATCAGCATTATTCTTTATGTTAATGAAGTTTTATTCTTCAATTTTATTTGTGCACATATTTGTTAAGGAAAAGGACGTTCTTTTATACTAATAATAGAGTTTCACAATACTTATAAAAAAAGTATTTTTGATAATTTTAATCAATTTTTATCATTATTGTTTTAAGTACCAACTATTTGTTATGCCGATCGACTGTAACAAAAAGATACTTCAAAATTAAATCCCTCTATTAAAATAAACGCTAATGGATATACTTTATTATATATTCTTTTTTGGAAATAATTCTCTCGCTTTTCTAGTTCAATGCATATACTAAACGATTTTTAGAGCAATGAATATCTTTCATTCCCATGAAAAAGTTGTGAATAAAGAGTTATACATTTAAAATGACGAAAATAAATCCTTTAAGTATAGGCGTTAATGTTATAGTGGTCTCGGAGGGTTAGATACTGTTATCTTATCTAATAAAATACGAATACTCTTTTCAACTAACCTTCCGAAGACCAGATCTCGTTTTTGGGTTCAAAGGAGACTACTATTATATCGTAATAAAAATACGTATAAGTAAACACAAGCGCATATCCAATCATTTTTTTTACTCTGTTGGACACAAAGTAGCAGAAGGCAAAGACGGTATAAGCTCAGAGAATCCTGAATTATGTCAACGACAGCGACTTGCAATTTATCAAAATGCGTATCTCTACGTACAACCCCTGAAATTTCTAAGAGGTAGTAGAAGTGGATGTGAAAACACCCCTTTTATTCGTAGGTCCATTTATATGTAAATCATTTGTGAACGAAGAGGACCTTGGGCTGCTTTACGTGTGTTATTATCATAACCGTCAAAATCTGAAAGAGGATATAATATCTGTCCAATAGATGTGATGATGGACTTTATTGAGTCAACGACAAATGGAGAATAAAAACGATGTCATGAAACTATACGATTGTTCTTGTTGATCCTATAGTAAATAAATAAATTTACAAATGATAAAAAATTTAATACGTTTTTTTTGTTTAATAATTTTCATGAGTTTTATATGAAAATCATATTTATTGAAAGCACAATAATAGTTATTTTCTAAAAAAAATATATATTTATGTTTATAAAAAAAATAAATATGTGCTCTTTTAAACATTTATCGGCTATATTGTTAAAACAATATCGTTTCGTTCAACTAAAGAGGTCGTATTTTACTTTTGATTTCCTATATAAACATACTACGAATATAATTTTTCTATAATCCACGAGAAATATAGTTTTTCAATATAATCAAAATAATAACAATTTTCATGCTCATGCACTTAGTATTTATGAGAGAATTTAAACTTAAATTGGTTATCATGAAAAATTGAAAATAACGACCTTTACTCCGTTAAGCACAACTGTATAATGATGCGTGGTCCTTTGTGAAGGAAAGATGGACTGTATAGGAAATTAAAAAATGATACTTAGACTTGCAGAAATTAAAAGAATTACAAAATAAGGCTTATGAACTAAAATAACAATAAATATAATATATTGGGGAGTTAGGGATGGAGGGTGATTTCATAACTAAATGCCACAAGGCAAAATATATTTACAAAAAATAAATTACTCTTGACAATTAAACAAATAATAAAAAATCTAACAATTATAATATATCTGTTGTATAATTTATCTACCTATCGACCTGATGGCTGGCGGTTCACACAATGAGAGTTGGAGTATCGAGATTGATGGACTGATCTCGTATGACATCGAATCACTTGACGAACAATGTAATGTGGCGAATCGTAAAGGCAATTGTACACACGATATGAACAGGGCATAGAATTGTCAGGTCGATTAAATTCAAGAACAAGCAATCACAGGTTGATAAGTCAATAGGAACGACTGTGGACTAATATTTACCATATAACCAAGTAGCAAAGGGCTAACAAAGGCGACGAGAATAAACATAACAACACACACAGTAAACGCGAGACTTTTACTCGTTTTCGGTGTATAACACAATCGAACCCGAACTGTCAAAAAAAAACAGGAACTTGCAGTAATTATACCGATGACTTTTCTCGCACAACCGGTGGTAGTAATGCAAGAGGCGTTGCAAGTCACAACAGAATCCGTAAAAAAACGCGCCTCTGGTAACTTCATATTCAACAATGACAATATATCGTAAAATTTGATATGATATTACAGATTGTGTACTATTTTATTTTATCATCGTTTTAAACATTTTGATAAAACAATAGGAACCGCTAACAATATTAGATTTCTGTAACATGATTACATAAAATTTTATCAAGACAGATTTTTAATAAAATTTTAAAATAATTTAGATAAT